TGAACAAAGGATGAGCACCCTATTAGAGTGCAACCCTCGACCTTTTAAATTATCGAGTTAAATTCTTAACGCTCGACTTTTCAGAATTTTGAATCTTTACGATTTGAATCTGAATCTTTACATTTGTTATTTTTACGTTTAAAAGTTTTTACACTTTTAAATTTGCATTTATTATTTTTAACATTTTTGAATTTTGATATCTCCTTCTTGTATTCACGAATCTTAATGTCTTGGAATCCTTACGTCTTAATCCTGTAGATCTTTTAGAAGCACCAACATTGCAATATTTCGAGAGCTACATTCCTTATTACGTTTCCTCTTTCATGGCTGTTCATATCCTGTAATCTTCCCATTAATTATCAAGGCACATATATCTTCGTAGCACATGTTTGCTCGTTGCGATGTCGTTCAATAATCCTTTATCTTTTGTCATGTATAATATCCCTTTCATTAAACACATAATTTTTCAATATATATAATATGTGTAATAAAATTAATTATAAGTCCAAGCGTAAGTAACATAAAACAAATATTTAAATTAAACCACAAGAAGTAAATTACAATCTTTTCAAAATAAGCTCATATTTATTAATATTTATCTAAAATATATGTACATACGTTCAATTTTATAAAAAAAATTATCCAAAAACAATGTAGCATGTTAAATTGAATATAATCACCAAAAGTAATGTGCGCGATATATATCCGTTGCCTCGTTACTCTTTATAAAAGAAAAGCATCTTATTAATGTTACCAATTCGCAGAATAAAAACTGCTGACCGCGCGCGCGACATTTCTCGTAAATAGCGCGAATTGGCGTGTTTTGGTATTCGCCGACAGTGGAAAATGCGAATATAGATCAGCGGAACGACCGGTGCTTACGACTGTACGTACGCGGCACGTCGCGGATTTTCCCGAAACGGCCGCGGGAAAAACGCGCGACGCCGCACCGCGCCGCGTCGGTCGTCGGAATGCGCGTAATCGTTACGTACATTTCCGTCGGGCTTCAAATCCCACCGTTGCATTATTCATAATGTTATCGCGTGTGGAATTACTCCGCTCGTCCGCTCGTCCGCTTTGCATACCGTTAGACGCCGCTCGTTGCCGCGTAAAACCGCGAGCACGCGAATGGGCGCTTTGCACATGCATCGTCGCAGCTTATCGCGCCGTCGATTTCGCGACAGCGACGACGGCGATGATGATGCACGTACGTACGTCGTGATCCTTAATAGGAATATTTTTATCGCGCAATGTTAAAGGCATGCAGTTGAATTTCATGAAATTTTCTGAAATTAAAATTTACCTTCGCACAATTTTATTTTTACGAATGAAAAATTTCCTTTTTTTATAAAATGAAAATTTCAAGGGAAGATAACAAATTCATCAAATTGTGCATTAAAATTAATTATTAAGTGATTCAATTACTTGTATCGTATCTTGATCGTACGAAGTGTTGCCACGTTATATGTTACTCGGTGTTACTCGGTGTCGGTTATATTTATCAATATAAATATCGCTAAGGAT